CTGCTGTCCCCGCGGCTCACTGCTCTTCAGGTGAAAACTGCTCATTTCTACACACTAGCAAGAGGTTTTTTTTCTTTTTCAATTCCCACAGTGGCTCTCTATTTAAGGAAGCTTTGTCTTTATTTTAGCCTTTAGAAAATGAATGGTGGCACAGTCTTATCTTTACAGAATGTGTACTTGTGTGTCTAAACCAGTTACAGGTAAACATAGTAATCTGGTAAAAAAATACTTTCAGAAGTAAGGTGGTTTAGCCACAAATTGAATTTTAGAGATTTATGTAATTTGGATAGTCTTAAGTTACAAAAATAATAACTACTGTTTCAGTGAAGTAGCGTTATTTAAATTTCCCTTGGATCCCAATGGCTTGTAGTGTATTAGAATGTAAAGTGTATAACATTTGTACAATAATCATTTTTTTCTCTATATCTTCAACCTGAAATTACATTTCAGTTGCAGAATATTATGGAATGGCTCCAATATGTAACAGAAAGTTCTTTGCTCTGTAAAATATTTTCCAGGATCATTTTTCAAAAACCCCGTAGGTCTGATGTTTTTCAAACTGCTGAAGGATTCAGAAGGGTAAAGGCAGGAAGCTGTTTGTTTTCTATTGAGTCTGCCCTCTTAATTTACCCTCACGTAGAGCCAGGAAAGCAAAATAGTGATCTGACTGTATACATCATTGCAAAGTTAAATTTTCACAAATTGACTGAAATATCCCTAACTCTGAGCTTAGGTGCTAAGCTGTTACAGAAGCCTATTTATACACACACGCATATGTAAAATCCACATGAAGAAACATGACTACTTTCTGTTACAGATACTAAAACCTGGGGAGATTAGGGATGGGGATCTGCTTTCTGATTGCTGTGCAGTCACAATTTTTGTTAAATAGTAAAACACAAAATATTCCCACCAAAAACAGCTGGAAAAAAAAGAGTGTGAAATGGCTCCACTCCGAGCCAGCAGTGGGATGAGCCCTAATAACACCATTAAATGAAAAGGTAACCTGAAAGCGCAGGGGTATTTCCAGTGTGGCCCCAAAACACATCCGATAGCAAAGCTGCAGCAAAGTCTGCTCTATGGGTGCTGCTAGGCAGACTCTGCAGACACAGACGGCCAGGCTGTGCTGGGGAGATCCCCTTCTCGTGCTGGAAAACTCGACTGTCCCAATCTAACATTGGTTGTGAAGGCTGAAGTCAACGTCACCAGCCAGTGATGCGATGTATTTGCTCCCAACTTACTGAAAAGACAAATTTACAAAGCTTTTCTCCATACTAAGTGACACAAGAAGAATTCACTTTTAAGAAGACAGGCAGAGTTATCCAGAATTGCTCCCGGTAACACTACTGCATTGGGGCCTGACTTGGAGTGATGCGGCCAGGACCGGGGCTGTCGGTGCCTCCCAAGTGGCTGCAGATACGTCTCTGACCTGCAGCCTGGAAAAAAGCACTGGCAAATCCCTACCTTCAATCCCAGGCCTAATTAAAGCAGAGTTTTCCAGGCTAGGGATAGTAGACCAGCACGGGCTCAGGTCCAGCATGGCTTCAAGCAGTGGTTATGGTCCACATCTCCCATGCCTTGACCCAAGACAGCAACTTCTTTCCACCCTGATTTGTTAGTATTTCCATGCACTCGGTACCTGCCAGCTGCCTGTCCGTGCTGCAAAGCAGCAGCTATAACACTTTGAATCTTTCTACAGCAGCAAGATGAGTTGTTTGAAAGCCTTCATAAAATTGTAAGCAGCTAGTTTAGACATGTTGATGGGAAGAGTAGGTTTTATTGTGATGTGACTGACAGTCTCAGTGAAGGGTATTTACAGTCTGACTCTTATTACTAAAAACACCATGACAGGTAGAACTTGATGTGTATGTATAATGGGGAGACGATGGGAAATTATAACAAAAAGAGCTCATTAAACATTTTGCTTTTTAACTTCACACATGGAAATACAATTTCCAAGAACTGCTTAACAGAAGCTCTTTGGGATAAGCTGGCTTTCTTTGTCTAGCCTGATGCCTAGGCCAAGTGTGGGAGAACATGAGGATTTCCCTGAGAAGGAAGAGAGAAAATGTGCAGGAGGTGTGAGATGGAGGAAAGATATTTGGAGGAAGTTATGTATGTTAAGTGATCATTCCAGCATGCTATTTAAACTGCTTCTGCAACCAGAAAATAGCATGTGGATATCAATTCATGTCAACCTGAGAGGGACAGATCATATGGGAGGAAATTCCTTGCAAAGGTGGCTATTTCCACTGACTACAGAGCATCGAAGGCAGAAGGCACCTAGATGACTTAGCTCTGCATGCCTCATTTTTATGTGCTGAGCCCAGAGATAACTTGCCTGAGAACACACCAGAGGAAAACAATCCCAAGACGGAAAATCAATCTCTATCTAGGGAATGCGAGCAGTTCAGTTTGAGCTCAAGCAAAACTGGCTGTGTTTTTATTAACTGTCGTGGGTTTAGTCAGGAGAGGGAATTCTTGATGCCTGGAACCTACTAGAGGCTAAAAAATTTATTCTTTCACCCGTTAAGAAATTAATGAAAGCAAAATCTCCTTGTAGAGAATGTGTCCTTGTATGTTTAAGCCAGGTGGATGAGTTAGATCATTTGCCTCCACATTGAATTTTACAGGTTTATATAGTAAGGACAGCCCTAAATTGAAAATAAAAAAATCATGGCAAGCATCTCAATGACAGAGAGTTACATGTGGAAAGGTAAGCAATAAATCAGATGGATAGTGGAATATTATACTGCTGATTTTAAAGAGCGACTGCTCCTTTCCCTTTTTGTACTACGCACTAATAGAAAAAGGTGAAACACTCTTACCTATATACTTCTCCCTCTTCTCTTTTTTATTTACCCCTTTATAGATTGAATTGCATAAGCTGTTTGGTGATAAAGGTCTAATAATTTTAAACTTAACCATGAAATAGCAAAAAAAAAAAAAATTCACTTAACCATGAAATAGCAAAAAAAAAATTTTGTAACCAGCTTCATAGAGATGACATTGAGTGTATTTGATGATTACAGACTAGGTGCAGTATCTCAGGCTCCTGCTCTGTAATGTGACAGTCCAACAACCAAGTGCAGTGTTGCTGTAGGAACAGCGGTGACTATCTACATACACAGTCATACTGCAAAGGCCTAAATTACAGACTTAGGAGTGAATCTGAAATTACACTGAGGCAATAGTAAAACAGCCACAAAAAAGGCACAGGGGACACTGAAGTATATGAGAAATGAGTGAAGAATGTACATCTACTCCTTGTCCTGAAATACCTTAAGAAATATACAATATGAGTTACCGTATTAGATTTTCCCAGTCAAAAAGATGATGTGTCTTTCCTCCCAGTGGGTTATCAGGAAATGTTTATGGCAAGATCCGTTTGCTTGTGCAAGCCACAGAAGTGTCACTATCCCCACCCTCAGCTGCTCCCCCAGCATTTATCATTTAAGTCAGTACCTCTGCGCTCAAAATTACGCGTTTTTCTATGTCCATATGTGAAAAATGTTTCTCATACATTTTTCCCATGCTTACAGCAGACTGAGGTTCCTGACTTTTTCCTTTGTTTTCCTCCCGTTCTCCTACAAATCCTCAGAAAAACTAGTTTCCCATGTAAACATAAATGAACAATTTCTCAAAGCACTGTTACTTTTATAGCACAAATTTATACTCCACAGCACAACTCTTCCATCAGCAAACGCACAATCCTGTTGCTAAGGCATCCATCATACTGATTCTTCACCTCTCTGCACTTGCTCCCATTCCTTATACATTCATCGGATAAATGTTTTCCCACTTCATAATGTTAATACACAGAAAGGGAATGGTGCTATTTGGATATAACAGCATATTACTCCTGCTTTATAACACATTCAGCTGTCCATGCAAGGCATAAAACAGAAAGAATTAAGTTTTTATTGGGCTTATTGGCCCTTAGCCCATTGCATACTTAGCACACTGCAGAAACAATACATAACAACAGTGGGAGGAAATCTGCCTGTGCTGATTACAGCTTGTAACAGCCAGAAAAGCACTGTAATATTTACAGTCAATTTGTACACTTCACAAATTTGTTGAGTGAAGGCTTTTCATTCACTTAAGCTTGGAATTGTTCCTCTTGGAGTTTCCCATAGCTGCTTAAGCCAGTGGCAATTATAAGTATCTTTACAACTGCACAGCTCTTCTAATATTATGCCACCTTTGAAGTTGGTTTATTAGGAAAAAAATTACTTTTCCATGGTATATATTAGGTGCGATTTTGATACAACTTTTTTTTCTTTCAAATGACAGAAGAACAATTCTAAGGTCAATTCTTGGTGTTTTATCACATTTGATTTGGAGCTCCTTGTGAAATCTTTACCCACCAGCACATTGCATTCACTAGGGTGTATCCTGCAAGGCGCAGACACTTCAGCTGCAGCAGATCACAGAGAGGACATACAAATGTTCCGACATGCCTGTTCCGAATGCTACTCTTCCCTTGCCCTCCATGCTATTCTGCCCTCGCCTTAACTGTTAGCTCTTCAACTTAAGCTGAGCCTTACGGAGCGCAATGCGTAAGCCCAGGTTTGGCAGGGGAGAGGATGCTCAGCCGGCGAGCTCGGCACAACTGCAGCAGCCACGCAGGGCTGAGGAGCCTTGTGGAGCTGCAGGGAACGGGGGGACTTCTCTAACCTGGGCTGCAAAGGTGTTTATAGCAAAGCACTCGCATGCAGCCGGCTGCCTGCTGGCTCTTAAGCACAGAGAGCACATTTATAAATGGTGAGTTTTAGGAGAATGAATCAAAAAAGACAGGAGGTGATTTAGGTAATGAATGAGACTGAATTCAGAGAAGTTACTCTGGTTACTGGCTACCCTGTGACACCCCTGCCAGTGCAGATCAGCGACAAACCAGACATCAGGAGAAATGTGTCAAACGTTATATAAAAATATGAGTGTCAAAGCAGCTAAGAAACATACCTCCTTAACCGCATGGAAACAGTCAAGATACTTACACTTACAGGTTGACTTTTTGGCACATCATAAACACCTTCTTTCTTTTGGCTGGTAGGAACCTGCAACAGCAAATGAAAAGCACTGTCATTATCCAAGCAGGCTGATAAAAAAAAACTCAAATGTGCAACTAATATTTAAGTACAGGGTAATCATTTAATGCTAATGATATCAAGGATAAGCCTGTTTTCACTCAAGGAGCAACCTTAAATGGAGGTCCTACCCAAGCAGCAAAATATATATCTGCATTTTTTAAAGCCTGAAGTTCAGCACTGCTCAGAAATGGGGTTTTCATTCTTATTTAAGACTGGTCACACAATAATTACGAAGTTCGGATGCATTTGGATCTCTTTCCTATCCCCCTCTTTTTTTCTAATTTCACTTGGGCATTCAAAGATGCCTGTGACCAGGTCAATATGTCACCTTTCTTTGTAACAGGGATCCAGAGTCAGGCTACTAATTTAAGGGAAGGAGATGTTTGACCTGTAGCATTATCTATAGGCATTATGGTATTTCTTTTCTAACTCATTGAATAACTCAAGTCAACTACAGTCATAACACGTATCCCCACAGAGATGAGATCCTGTGCCTGCTCTAAGGAATATTTGGTCTCAACTCCGCAAATCTTTACTACTAAGGAATTACCAGCCTGCTGGAGTCTGAGGCAGCATATACACTCGTGGAGCTGATGGACTGGGGATAATACATTTAAATAAACTTTGCGTGGGAGTTTTTAGTTAAGTCAACAGTCATGAGTTACACCTCAGACATTTACATCCTACTCACGTAAATTTAGTTGCTTTAAAATACAACTGAGAAGGGAAATGGGATTAGCTTGTCTAAGGACTGTCTACAGATTTATCATTTGTCATCGCATATCTTTTCCTTCCTAAAAGCACTAAACATCTATTTGGCACTAGAAAAAAAGGTAATAAAAAACCACATGCTTTAAATAGAGCTACATCTTCTAAGTCAGTCAGTGCCATTCTGCATTGCATGAAGACAGGCAGCATAAGGAGGTTACATGTCAGACATTAATGAAACCTCTCAATTTAATAGGAGAAATAATATTGCAGATAACATAAAATGATGGTTATTTTTTATTTCTTAAGACCACAAATATCTTAAAGAGCTCTGAGTTTGGTGTCAATCAAATAATATTGCAGATAACATAAAATGACGGTTATTTTTATTTCCTAAGACCACAAATATCTTAGAGATCCGAGTTTGGTGTCAATGTTAGGGGAAGCTGAAGGAATGTTTTTCACTGAGATGTGGTATCATTTCTTACTTGGTATAATCTATCAAAAACAATCTCTGAAGTGTCAAACATTCTCATGCCGATATTTTAATGTGAAAGCCTTCAAGGGAAACCGGTGCATCTTCATTAACTTAGCACACATGGAAGTTTTCCACAAGCACTCAAGAGCGGCAAGCGCAAAACCAGAATGAGCCCAGTTATTGTAGATGCTTTTTAAAAATGTATACTCCTAGCGCAGGGATGATTTGCTCAAAGATAGAAATCGAGAACGCTCAAATAACAAGTCATTTGAAGGCTTTTTTTTTCCTTCAAAGGACAACAACGAATACTATGAGACAAACTGGTTCCAAAATTATCACTGATAGTTTTCTGGTTTTTGTTTCTTTTCTCCCTGGAGAGCTTCCCAATCAGTCATCCTCCTCTTCCTCCTTCCAACTTTTCCCAGATGTCACCCCACTTTCACATTCCTCTTGCAGCCTAGAGTGGGATGAGCAATTCCCTGCACTGTACATTCCCATTTCTGTTTTTTACTCCTGCTTCTAAATACGTTGGAGAAGAACAAATACCGACTCCCAACATCATCCCAAAGAATATTTTCCGAAAGGCATTTTCCCTCCCATCTTCCTTCCACCATGTGTCCAAATCTCATCAAATTTCTTTATAGCTTTACTTAGACTGGGGCCTGCAAGGCCTTGTGTTTGGTGGTTGTTTTTGATTAGCAACATCAGCAAATGGGGACCTGAGCTACTGCTGCTGGCAGCTCCGGCTGCACGAGGGGCTGGGTACTATTCTGGAGCAGCTGGTGTCTTACTGACAACACAAGCACCACAATTTGGAAACCCCATGCATGGATTGTCAGCTCCTTATAGTACAGAACCTGCCTCTCCAAAGAGAGGCACGAACGTGATATAAAAATGTGATTTAAAAACATGTAACAAAATGTCCTCCCCATCTCAATACCTTAAAATGCCAGGCAAGCAAACAGATGTTATTCAAGTATCTGATACTAGGTGAGAGGATTGATACATGTTTGGTGATCTAATCATTGCATAAGAGGTGCATTCAAAGGAATTTATGCAGACAGACAATACTAAAAGAGCAAACAGGCACAGACTGACTTTGGGATAAATGTATCAAAGAAAGGTGAAAGACAAGGAAAGAATGCTTACAATGAAGTTGTGACCTCTACTGCATTAAACAGAAATAGAAAGAGCCACATTTCACGTGTATCTTTCATCTTAAATTACTCCTTGGACAGGAACCTTCTGCCCCAAGGGAGAACCTTCTGTGTACAAGCTCTTGGCAGGAAACCAGAGCAGTCCCAGAAGGAAGGTTTGCCTAGGATGAAGGGAGCAACTACTACGTTACTGATGAGAGATGTATTTCCCATTACGTAGTACGGAGCAGGTTTCCTAAATTATAGGAGCTGGAGAAAAACGGTATCAAACAACAAAATCGAAACTTTTTCTAACCTCACTTTTAAGGGTAGCCTAGATCACAAACTCTGAAGAGAAACCCTTTCTTTCCAGTGATGTAAATGTAAGATCTGAGCTGTGGGAATTCAGATTTGTAGCAAAGTGAGAAATCATAAAGTACATGGAAGCTGAGGAGCTTGTGGCCCTGGGCAAATCTACCGGAGAGATATTCAATATCTGCCAATTGCAATAGATAATGAAATAAGACTCGTAGCTACCTAATCTCAGCGGCTGCTGTATTCAAGGTGCTGCCTGTAGTAAATACAGGAAGGACAGTGCTACACTGCATGTACTGAAGTTACTGTATGTATTTATCACAGGTATTTTCTGTTCACCACTTTAGGAGAAAACACTTCATCACACCCAGATACTGTCAAACGAAGCCTTGAGCAATTCTCTGGTGACTTGGAGAACACTAACAGCACTACCTCCAGATGAGTAAAGACCTTGCTAACTGTTTATCATCTTCTATTTCCATTTTAAGGAAAAGCAAATCTCCACAGAGATCCTCTGTTCTTTCTATTCCTCCCTTGCTCTCATCAGATGGTGTCTGCAGAGTTTGATAGTCAAACTTTCTGCGTTACGTGATAGAATATTCTCAGCCTTAGGTTAGAAAAATATCCTCATCTTGACGTCCTGGTCCTACATATCTTGCTCTAAGATATGTAGAAAAATGTATCTGCTACACTATGTGGAAGAGGTACCAAAAAAATCAACAAAAACTGCTTAAATGGACCTGATCTTAATGATCCTATCGCGGTGCTTATCTGATAGCTATTTTTTAATTTATTTATATTTCTCTCTTCCACTTAACACCTTTTTCCTCTGATTGACAGTTTTTCTACCCTTATCTTTTTTTTTTCCTATTCCCTTTCTCTCTTTGCTCCTCGCTTAAAAATCTCTCTTCTTATTTCATTATATATTGCACCTGCCTACCTTAGAAAAGCTTTTCCTATTAGCAAATCAACCTCAATACATCTAGATGAAATGCCTAATCACTCCTTGACTCCCCTTCCTCTCCATGCTAAATGACTTCCTCAAATCGCACGTTTCTTGCAGCACACTGAGATTTCTGCCTATCTCCAGCTTTGCCTCTAGTATGCTATATAAAATGAATTACATTACATTTTAATAAACCCTGTACCAATCCCTTGAGGATAAACTGAACGACAAAACATTATTTTATGTTGCTTTCAAAGAGATTTTTGTCAGCATGAAGAATGCAAGCTTGGGCTGTAACGTAATACATATATTCTGAAAGTATTTTTCCAGTGCAGGGGATATCCACTGAGAGCTCTTCGGTTTTGCTCAGTATTATTTTACTTTGTCAGACAGAAGGAAGAGCAGTACCATCAAAATGTCCTTTTAAGAGCTGCTTCGATGGTCTCTTTCCACGACTACCATCCCTAGAGTCTACAGAAACCCCTGGGATTTCAGGGTGTGTCTTTAAAAAGCTGTGAAAACTTTTGAAAATTAACAGGAAACAAATGATTCCCCTATTTATCCCCCCACCTTATGATATGGTGCAGTCGGAAGTTTTAGACCTTGCATAAACTGGCAAAGACAAAGTTAACAAATACCACAAAAGCTGAAAAGACAAACAAATTAATAAAGCAATCACAACTGAGATTGGGTAGATTATTCATGTAACGTCGTAAGAGTGAAATGTCAGACGTTTTGGTGATGGATGAAAATTAATAAAAGTGAATTAAATATGAAACCTATTTCACTAAATGCCCGCACTGGTTGCAATGAAAACACACAAGCAGTGATTTTATACCTGATAAATGTTTTCTTCTGTTTCAGGCTCACGGATTGGCTCATGTCCAGCCTCAAACACAATGTACTATTACACCAGCAGCCAAAGAGGAAAAGTCAAAGATGAAACAGAAGGGAAAAAAAAGCGTTTTGGAAATCCACATAAAAACACAGGCAGGCATTAAAGAAACAAGCTCAAAGTACAGGCTGCCATCAGGACAACCGGTGTGTTGGAAGCACAGAGTAAGGTTGTTTCATATTTCATAAAACAGCAATGAATAGACCTAAATCTCCTCTAATGATCATTAGAGCAACTTCCTAATTCTTTCTCACTGGGGATACCGCCTGTGGCCCAATTTTAATTTAGCTGAAGTCAATATGAATTTTGCCTCTTTTACATAACGGCAATTATTTCCACATATATTTATTATCTACGAATAAAACAAATTAAGTCCAAACTAGAAGAACAGGTCGGTGCTTATGTAACAGGTCACAAGGAGAAAAGGCTGCTGCTTCCCTTTTCATTTTAGGCTCTTTCTTTACAGCGCAGAGCACACAAATAAAGCTCTTGACTGACACTCTTGTAGGCGGAAACAATTTAGGGCTTCCTAATGTTTAGCATCTTCCACGATGCATCTCAGACAGTGCTGCACGTTCATTTGGTTAGACTGGTTTCTCTCAGTGTGACCCCAACTCTTACCTCTAAACGGAAGGGCCCCAAATCACTATCATAAAAAATAACAGTGTTTTGTAAAAAACCCAACCTATAACGTGTTTTGTTTCAGCAAGAAATCTTGAGAATGAAATTACATCCTCTTCACACTCAGTAGGATATTGGACATGAATGTATTGGCATATTTCTGATAATCATCTTTGCTCAGGGCCATTTTCCTTGGATGAAATAAGACTTAAATTTCAGCTCCAATATGAAATTGTAACCCAGCTGCTAACAAATAACGGAGTGTGGTAAAACATCAATTTCATTTCATTCTGTGACTTAAAATCTGGCACCATAGAGCCAGTAACAAAATATCAATTTATTACTATTAGAACAAGATATCACCTGCTTTGTTTTCAAAGTAATTCCATTTGCTGCTAGATTTTGTATTCAAAAATGATGACAAATCTCAGTGGGAAGCAAACTCTACACTCACAGCCAACATTTTAAAAAGATTTAATCTGTATTTGTATACAGAAATATTCTGCTATTACTTTGAGCTTAACCTCTAAACCTGCCACTTTCTGTTAAAACCCACCAGGTTTCTCACAAAATCTATCTCAGTAAATCTCTTTTAACAATATCTTATTAAAAGTTTTGTCTGTGTCTGAAGATAACATGTATCTATATTTAGTCATTTCTGAAACTCCAAGGCTGTACAGCTTCAGAAATTACCTGGTAAACAGGATCTTCTACATCTTCTTCCAAAATTGTCTACAGCAAAGTAAGAGGACAGGCAGTAAAAGCAAAGAACATAAACAGTAGAGATAAAAGAACTGTATTCAGAAACTAAAGGACAGCAAAGAAACAAGCCAAATGTGCAGCTAAGTATATAGGGTGTTTTCTTTATAATACAGATAAAGTCCCATTATTGTACAAAGTAACTTTATTCAAGTTTCAAAGTTCAACAATTGCACCTTGAGTTCAAATACACACATTCAGAAATATATTGAATAACCCCCCAAACTATTAAGACACTTAACCTGACTTACAACACTGACTTCCATTAAAATTCTCATCCTAAATTAGAAGGAACACTGTGAGAAATGAACAGGTCATTTCAAGTTGCTAGGCATGTTCGGCACATCCCATGTCACAGCTTTCAGCACTATTTAATCCTACTTTTGAGCTCGTGATAGCAGCTAGGCTCATGTTTGTCCATCATTTGAACACGCTGCTGTTAAGGGACGCTGAGGACACTCAGTGCAGCTCTCAGGACTTGGTGGGTATCTAACCCACACTTTCCTTGGCAGTAATCTAAGCTTATGCATGTACCTGGTATACTGCTTGTTCACACTGCTTGTCCTTTTGTGCCTTTTTTTCCATTTCTTCCCTTTGTTTCAGTTCGTAGATGAGCTGAAACAGGTCTCGCAAGTCCAGGATTACAGGTTCAGCCTATAGAAGCAAAAGCAGTAATGAAGGCAACTACACTGCACTTTTTTCTTATTCTGCCAATATAGCAGCTATAGTTATCTCCTCAAAGGCAAAGAGCTTCATACTGAATTAGTTTCTACCTTGTTTAGATTGCTTCAGCAAATTGCATCCAGGCTAAGGTTAATTTCTGTAAAGCTAATTATATTTGCAGATTAATGATAGTGATAATTATGAGTATATAAAGGCATTGCTTATATTTATTAGTGGTTTCTAATACAATGAAATTAGAGTAGACTTCATGCAAAGTAGCTATTTGGCTTCTATCATTTTCTGTTTAAATGAGTATAGGAATATAACCGAATTTATCTGTATTCAGCCAGTGAATCTAGTTTAATTAGAAAGGAAAATAATTACTAATTAGGAAGAATACATCACAAAAAATTGAGAATGTTGAAATACATTCCTTTTCTTCCCCCCAAGCTGGTTTCATTAATTTGCCATGTAAGTACATCTAAGCAGATACTTATGAGAAGCCTGGTGCACTCGGGAACACCACGAGAACAGCCCCTGGATCAGCTCTTTGCAAGCACAGCGTTTCCACCGCAGAACCGCAAGGGTTGGATACTTACTGCCTGCGCCGTTTTTATTGCCACAAATCGATGGTTCCCCTCCTTTCCACACACATATCCAAAGGCTCGGTGGTCTGTGATGTCCTTTGCGATGTATGAAATCTCGTGAACTGCGTGATGGTGCTGAAGTAGCTATTAAAAGCAAAAAAAAAAACCAAAACAATGCAGTAAAAAATATCCATCATTACCCAGAGCTCAACATATCCATGTAATTAAAATAAATAAATGAAAATTATCCCATGCCAAAATCAATTGATATCTGAACTTTTTAAGCTACATGTCTTTTGAAAATTTGGCCAAACTTGACTTGCTTTAATAATCTAAATGCTTCAGTTGAGTATGTCTATCCTTTGATGAGCTATAACTCAATAAAAATACGGTGTTATCTAGTTACTACCTATGTGTTGGTATGTAAAACAACAGGCAGCAGCTACCTGTAGGTTTGTACAGGGCGACTGTGAAGCCAGAGCACCTGCAGCGAGCGCAGGACGCGATAGCTAAGACTCAACCTCTCCAGGAACCTGAAGGAGAAGGCTCCGCATCGCTACAGCACTCAACGAGTGATACTTCATCTACAGCAGTAACAGAAATCCAGACACTTTTCCCTGAAAATTCATGGACATATGTTTATCCAGCTTAGAACAATGTTAAGCGCAAACCTCACATTTTACTTAAAATCCTTCTTTGGTTGACAGTAAAGAAACAAAACAAAGTTGCTTAAAATGTGTAAGACTTGGTCCCTCCTGGTCTCCAGAACCAGGGCACGAACCTGGAGTTATTACAAGCAGGTCTTGGCCAGAAAGCTGTCCAGCATGTCAGCATGCTTCCTGCTTTGACCTAATTAGTAATTAATTACTAATGCAATATTTAAATATTTCTACTTAGAATAATAGTCTTGAAAGGTTTTTCTAAAACTGTCTGTTAGTTTGAATTTCTACCTTCTGATATATTGGCCTGCTCTTTATAAGCTAGTGATAATATTTTTGAGAGCAAGCCAAGCCTCACAAAGAATTCTTTTGAGGTCCAGCTTCCTGCTGTTTTTTGAGAAAAGCACATTTTGAAAATCAGCGTGGTATCCAGGCAATCTCTAAACAACCAGTTATTTTTAGAGTTTAAAAACATTTTAAAATTCAAAACCAGAGAGGTTACATGTATGCGTAAAAGCAAAAAGCTGAGTGCGTGCAGGGCAGGTGACAAGTGATTGGACTTTTGCAGAACCCAGGCTGAAATTTAAAAGGAAAGGCAACATGGGGAGTCAGATGACTATATAAAAAATAAAAACATGGTCATTTCTGATTGCCATTCCTCAGTAAATGACTCTGCCCCCATCTAGATTGCTTTCTCTTAGGAACACTGAAGTGGTGGTTGCCACTGGCTCCAGGCTGATCGTGGCTAAGCTGAAGGTGAGGTTCAGCTTTCCCAGGGAGTTAGCTGTTTAAAATTAATGATGGGATCTTACATAGATAATATACGGATATTGATTTATGAGGGTTTTTTTTGCAAGGCAGTCGCACGCTATCTGTAACAATGAAATGAAGTGGTCCTCTCTCCCTATTCTGCATGACAGGGAACGTTATCTCCGGCTCCTATTAAATCAAAGTTCTTCGACGGTGCTTTATTGATTGCAAGAGAGTGTTGTGCGCTGAAATTAAACTGTGATCAGGTTCCTTCCTTGTGGAATTAAATTTGAAGACCGCTCTACCATAGAAAAATATCACCTACAGTGTGAGACAGCAGATGGAGACATTCCAATTTATTTGGGAACTCTTATTAACTGCTCTAAATTCATTACATTTTTAAATGGTTATGATGCCCAATACACTTCAGAAACTGTATCCACTATATGTATGAATTAAGTAAAGAGGACTACAGCATTATCCTTTTGCATATTTTACTGTACAGAGAGTTTTGCAAAATTTTTTTTAATAAGGGGCACCAAATTGAAAAATGCACAAGAAATGTAATGCTTTGTACACACATCTGCACTGAAACGTAAATGCGCACGGTCCTTTGATCTTGTTCTTTCACAGACCTGGATTCATCTAGCGTGTCCCTTTTGCATTTTCCAATAATTTATTCCAAACATCATTTAATGAGCGCCTGATTCTTCCATCATCATAAATCAGAAATCGCTCCTGGTGTGGTCAGGAGAGATTTACCAAGGTAAAATGCAAGATCATCATTTTTCAAAATATATATATATTTTTTCCCCTCCTTTTTAAGGATGCAGCCTGCCTAACTCCCAGCATAGGCCCCTGCAGCAGGGGTGGCCCTGGCAATGCAAGATCATCATTTTTCAAAATATTTTTTTTTCCCTCCTTTTTAAGCATGCAGCCTGCCTCATTCCCAGCACAGGCCCCTGCAGCAGGGGCGGCCCTGGTGGCAGGGCTGACACCGTGGGGCTGCGCACGGCGTCGCCTCTTCCCATCCCAACAGCCCCTCGGAGCTGAGTCCATCTATAAACTCATGCTCTTTCCATCTTTTGATTACATTTGCCTCTGGTGCATTCGCATAGGTTAACCTGTACCATAAAATGTGACCAACCAAGAGAAGAGTCTGGTGGAGCTGCTGGTCACCGCTCAGCAGCTAATACAGCCCTGGCTGCCTCCTTTTCCCCCAGCCTCTCTTTTCTTTTCCATCTTTTCCATACCAAGACTTAATCCTACCTTAGCGGCCCAGGAGCACATAAAACCCAGTATTTCACAACCCGGGGATGTTTATGACACCCCCATTTTATTATGCACACACTGATGGATTTCTTCACATGCCATTTGCTGTTTTTACAGTCTCCTTGCTGAGCGCTTCTATGAGCCATTTACCAATTCCTAAGTGAAGTATCAAATTGTTTGGAGGGCTGCAGTATGACAGAACAAATTACAGAGAAGACTTAATTTGTATTATGGTTCAATACAGTCAATTAAATATTGCACAGATTATAAAGTAATTTGTTTTAACATTTAAGCTCGAGTTGTTAAGTCACCATCCATAGTCTCCATATTATTTTAGGATACAGGGGATTTTAAAACGCACTCACCCAAGTCGCTCTCCTCCTTGGGCCCCTTCCCAGAGCTTCCTCCAGGCTTCCTTGTTGGCTCTGATTTTCCCTCCCGCTCTCCAGTCTATCCCAGCTTCTCCTCTCCCCCAGGTTGCTCCCGGTACATCATACTGAATTGATTTAGCTACCTTCAAGATCTGCAGCATTTCTAATTTCCCTCAGGCTGCTTGGCACCTATCATAAATTTTTTCACCTCTTTCACCTCATCGTGCCCCTTTATTTCCATGCTGTAGCCTCCAGTTCCACTAAATCAATTAAGTCAATCAATTAAGTACTTGGAGGGCCCAGCAATCATGTCAAGTATGTGAGTTAGATGGCACGGGAAAGTCACTGCTTTCCCATCGCTATTTCTCTTTTAATGAGGTTGTCTATTTAGTGAAGCCTGGGGCACTGTGTTAAGAGCCACAACAGAAAATATCTTGCAAGCTGCAAAGCCTCCTGCAAAATCTGCTGCACCAAGAGGCGGAAGCGCGTACCACTTAACGGTGCATCCGTAAGGACAAACTGCACAAGGATAGAAGTTACACAACCCTCTGGAATAACTTAAATACTTAAATAAATAATAAATAGTAACTTAAATAAAGAAGCTGTGAGCCTGCCTTCAGATTGGTGGCATCTGCCCTGCTGCTATCACCTCCATGCTGCCCATGCCAGGTTGCAAGGGCCACCCATGGCACAAGCATCCTCTGCATTTCTGCTCTTGCCTCTTCACCTCTTCGTCACTCGAATCAATCAGGAACGATGTATTTCACAGGGCCTGTGCATGCTGCAAACCCTTTGATTTTAACCCAAAATTTCCCAAATTGCAAAGCCCTTACAGGGCTTGTAAGAAAGCAGCTTTACAGGCCATGGTTTCAGTCACGCTGCTGTCCACCTGCAGGTCTTTCACAGCCCAACTCAAGCTGTGATCGTTCAACAGCGCTCAAAGAAAATCCCCAAACGAACAAAAAGGCATCTGTCCTACATGGTTAGTTCAAAGCGTTCAGAATCTGAATCCAACATGTAAAATTACAGCAATTTTCATTATGGCATTATTTCCTGCAATGTATTTAAGGCTAACAGTGACTTGTAAAACACAAATGATCCTGAGAGCAAGGGATGCTGGAGCAGAGCCGATGTCTGGCCAGGTCACTATGTGGAAGAGACCGTCACACTCCACCCCGGTGCTGGAGACAGGGCCTTCTTGTGTCAACTGCTCCTTCCTGCCACTGCCCGAGCAATTCCTGACTTTTAGTGTGAGATTTGCAGGGATCGGGGGGTTGCAATTGGCCACGCACACTTCTCTAATTGCCTTCATTTGGGTTACACTGACTCTGTTAATCCATTAAAACGCGCTTAGCCAGGTGCTCTGAGCTGCTCCTTTCTCTCCATCTCCAAAACGCCCCCGCGAGCGGTCTCCGAAGGCGCTCTTGAGGAGCAGACACGAAACACGAAAACATTCTCTGCAGCTACAGATTCAAATCCCAGCTCTGTCTAGTTTTACAGCTTCCCAGCATGGACAGATAGCAGTTCACTCTAGGTAGACACTGAAAAAAAAATACAGACACGCAGGCATCTGGAAGAACCATCTCATCGGACCCCGCTGGCATGAGGTTTTCCGTGGTACCCATTAACTTTGCACGGGGATCTGTTAAGCAGTTGTTCATCTTCCAGCTACCTTTCACCCAGGAGACAACTGCGTTTCACCAGCAGCGTGTACAGGCAGTTTGGGAGAAGCCACTGATCTCCACTCTCAGCGTAACGGCCGATAAATCCGTAGGTTGTATTTGCACCGCAAACTTTCCCCGGGTTGTTTTCTGGAGTTTGGCGTTTGGGTGGCAAGGCGGATGGGGGGAATCCTACCAGCAGGCCCCCAACCCACAGAAATCTTCCCTTTCCTGTGGGAGGGCAGATAGGAGGCAGCTCGGTGCGTTGCAGGGCTCCCTGCTGCAACCTGCACCTGCCCTTGCTGCAATCCTCCCAAGAGGAAGGGAAGGGACCGAGCTCGGAGGGAGCTGTCGGAGGCAGCTCCATCTAATCGGATCCGGCTTTACAAGGAACCCCGGCACTGTTCCCCAGGGAATTTGTCGCTGCTTTTGATTTCTCAATTAGTGACAGGCTGCTGCAAAGCGCGACGCTGCTGCGGGCTCTCCTGCTGCGGGACAGATGCTTCCCACTAGCCGTTCTTCTCTTAACTATGTCCACGTATCATGTTGGCTATTTTTCCAAAGATTAATACAAAAGAACATGTGGATTTTGCTACAGTCAGTTGGAAAGGTAAGTAAGGAGCCTCCTCACACTGTATCTGCCCTCTACCAAGAATGCATGTAACATAAACCTCACATATAACATAAACCTCATTAAGCACCCAAATAATTTATAATGGAGAGAGCAGTTCACCTCTTCTAGCAAACTACAAAAACAAAAAGGGACATTTGAGGAAAGAGGAAAAAATACAGGTTGTGAGAGAAAAAGGTTCAGAAATTATATGCTTAAACAAAAGGCGAGATAGGAAACACGACATTTTGAATGCAACAGTCCTCTCCTATCAGGAGGAGTACTCCAGCTGCACGTCCGTGGGGAGAGGACAGCAGAACAAGACGAAGTAGGCCAGATCACAGCATGCTGCTCAAACACAGTAGTGATTTCCTTGGATAAGTACCCTCACAGGCTCAGTGAATCTCGTACATAAATATTTACTGCCACATGTGGAAAGTTTTATCCAGTTTGATTTGGAAAAGTAGAGCAGTAGACTTCAAGGTTAACAAATTATCAAAATACTGTGTTCCTACTAATATTGCAACCAGGCTTGGAACAAGGCAGCTTTTCGATCCAGCTTTCAAAAATAAACGGCACTTTCGAAGCCTGGAAAAGCAAAACCCACGAGAAACTTCTGGTGTTCCTTGATACCTCAGTATGTAGTTGCATTTCCACGCACCAAGATGATGAGTTTTGCACCATTCACAGGCAAATAAAAGAGTACAAACTGAGCATGTTAACGTGGAGTGAGAAAAGCACATAGAGAACAAGATGCCAGTTTTTAGCTGCTGCAGCACAGGCTGCAGAACTGTCTTGGACGCACGGCTGGGAGGGCGAACGTGCTGCAACCCTCACGTAGGAGGAGTCCGAACAACAGAGCTGAAAATGAATGGTCCACCATGGACTCCTGAGACGGTCATAGTTTGGGCCGACAATATGCTGTGGAATTGCCTCCCATGGAAAACAAGAATTGGAGCAGAAAATCGTAACCTCTAGAGGCTTCTCCAAGCCTGAATGGACTCTGGGGTGGTGATCTGAAGCCTGTTGCCACAACGAGAACAACACAAGTCTAATTCCTGTGTTCCCTCCGCGCAGGCTGGTTTTACACACAATAACCTCAAGAAAGGCTTTTCCAAATCCCAACTGCCTCTAAGAGGCGTTTTGGCAGACAAGCTTTGCACTAAAACATGGCACATGGCTTCCAGATTACATGCAAACCAAAGCTTGGTCTAGGGACCACAAAGGAGCACATAAAATACCTCAATAATATTAAAGAAAAAAGAATCGAGTTAGAATTAGCCACAGTTATCACACTCCACCCCTCCAGGGTGCTAGTACCCTGGCTGTGACACAGCAGAGTATTACAACCCAATAAATCCAATCCCCGGCGTAAACTCCGGAGAGCCATTCCCGGAACAGAACCAGGGTGGAGACGGGGAGCTGAGTCAGAAGGAAAGATCAAGGCAGCGAGGGTGACCGCATGGTTAAGGACACGCAGGGCTGCAAGCCGAGCGCTGGGTCCGCAGCGAACAGACGCGAGGGCCCTGTTGGTGCCACAGAGCCTCTGTGAGGTCCCCTTGTTCCCTTACACCAATGCCCTTCACCTTATGCAGTGCTTTTTTATTTACATGAAGAGCAAAGGCAATGCCTGCATGCAGCTCCTAGGAACCACGGGGGTGTTTGCTGCCTTTATTTTACCTCCTTGGGATGTTAAGTGCTTCTGACTCGGCAAGCATCACAGCCCACCCGCCTCCTGCAGCCAGCGATCTCGAAAGCTCATCAGCGACAACCAGCCTCAGATTCTCCTCATCTGTTACACAAACCTTATGAAGGAGAGCAGCAAAGATCACAAAAAAAGGACTCTCATTGGCATCACTAAAATTGAGGCTGCACTGGATAGCCATTAGAAAGCAACTCTCTAACTATAAATCGACACTCGTAACATGACAAACTTCTCTGGAGCAGGAAAAACAGAGAAGCTTTATGAACAGTTGGGGGAAAAAAAGACGAGAGAGATTTGTTTTATATATATATAAACACACATGTACATGCATACACATATGTATACATATATACACACACACATATATATGCCAGACACACATAGCGATTTTGTAATCCTTTAAAGAGGGCTGAGGGAAAGCACAACACTCCGCATTCACAGACTGCATATAACCAATATGTCGTGTTCAGAAACCAATTAAAAATGAAACCAGAAACGTTGAGAGATTCACAAGACACCATGTTTTATATCTTCAGAATCTAAAAGTAATTTCAGAATCAGAAACAAATCAAAGATAACAGGCAAAAAAAAGAAGCCCCAGATATGTTCCTCCATAGAGCAGTATATCAGAAGCAGAGCATGGGAGACTGATTTCATGTGGTACATTACAGAAGGGGTCAAAAATCTATTCAGCCTCTGGTTTATGTCTAAAGGCTAAATACAAGATGCTGCTTAAAAGAGACATCCTCAATGTTCTCCTATCACAGACTTTCGCTTTCAGATGACAGCATTTGAGTTATCTTTTCTATACCACAAACAGTTAGGTTTTGGATGCTGGGGTGACAGATGACTTTCCTAATTTTCCTGAAATTCATTATCACGAGAAACATTTGCTGTCCCAGCAGAGATGTCTGAGTGGCTGCACATTCCTCCCATTGCAGCTACTGCAGACTCCCTGGAAAGGCCACAGAGCAACTTCTTGCAACCTTGTAGGATCTCAGGTTATTTCACAACCACAGGGTATTACAAGAAGGCCTCTGCTTAACGTGCTCAGTGATGGATCAATGTACATGCAGGCTTGCAAAAGGTGGCTTGAACTCTAAAATGGGTTTCTGTGTTGGGCTCTGGAGCTACCACCTGTAGCACTTGGAGAACAGCACCACCACAGACCTACCTGGTCAAAAATACCAGTCACTCTTCCTCTATAGGGGAAAAAAGGGATGCCTTTTCTCTGAGTTTTAAAAAAAACTTCCGAAAATTCCCTATGCTGAAATGTGCCACTCATTTTGCTCAGGCCCCACAACACTTTCCCTAGGATATACCATATCCGCAGCAACAAAACATCAGTGTGTGTGTTGCTTGAGTCCGAAAGGCAAGAAGAACTTAAAATGTAAAAGCGAATCTGCAAAGAAGTTTCAGAAAAGAACAAAGCACTTCCATGTAATTCTTGCCTTGTTTTTTTCCCTTCATTATTCAGAGGTAGGAATATTCAGAGGCCCCTCAACCTCATCTGCTTCGTCCCAGCTGCACGGAGCCCCTCCATGTAATTCTTGCCTTGTTTTTTTTCCCTTCATTATTCAGAGGCCCCTCAACCTCACCTGCTTCGACCTGGCCTCATGGAGCCTAGGCCCACTTTACAGCCTCTGTGCACAGCGGGTTTTCCATGTTTCTTCTCCTAATCAAAACTAAACTTCCTCCTTACTTCAATCCGTGCACTGCATATGCATGCACAGGTTAAGCTCTCCCACGTGATGCTTCAGAATACTTTTAACTTCCTGTATCATTCACAGAAAGGCATCCTTTTGGGTAATTAAAGATCACATAAGGATATTAAATACTCTACTGTGCTGCTCAGGCTTTTCCATATCACAATAAAAAAAAAATCTGATTCACAACCCTCTTTTGAGTATCTATAGAGAAAAAATATTCAGAGCTATGCAGAGCTGATGCTGAGAATCATATGCAATACTTATTTCACGGTACTTGGAAATTAGTAACTATTCTGCCTCACTTATTTCGTACCACTCACTCCACTCTCTTTAAAGTCCCATAGGATGGATGCTGCTTGCTTCCCTGGGAGCACAGGGATGCACAATCAGCACGGGAACCACAAAGGATAAAAAGTATTAACCATAAGGATTGCTAGGGTTTATTAAATGCCACTTTTGCTAAGTGAGTGCTATAGCCAGGGACAGTTTAGGCTATGCTATAACTCCATGATCGCAAACAGGTCCCATGTAGCACAAGAACAGATACAGTTTCAGGCTCTAAGCTCTGCAAGATATGAATATGTGTATATCAAGCACACAACGAATGAAAGAGCTAGAAAAATTATAAATATACTTCTCTCAATTAGGAAGTCAACTTTTATAAGCGGCTTTTTAAATATTAAGCAAAGATTTAGTGGCATCTGACATTTACTACTGTTCAACTGAAGGACAGGAAAAAAACACATACGATAACTGCTGACAAATGCCAGAATTCAGTGACAGCCTCTGCCCAGTCTTCCTTTTTCCTTCCACAGGGACACTTAGCACATAAACTAAGTGGAAAAAAACACATTTACTTGTCCCTCAGGACTACCAGATTCAATGAAGCTCTCACTGACTTCCCTGGAAACATAAATGTGGACCTGAGGGCAGAACATCACCCGCTGAATTTACAGCAATAGAGATCTATTACTATCATCCCACGAACTCCAGGTAACTTGAAAAGTAAATGTTTCTGTACTTCCCCTATACCATTACACTGACTGCTAAGGTCATCCATCTCGTCTGCATTTGACTTCAGCAATAGGACAGGTTAAACAGCTCGCGAGTTAGGATAAAAATTCAGAAACGTTGCCGGGAGTGTTGCTATTATCAGGGCAAGCGGCAATTGCAGAGCCGCCTGCCCGACAGCGCGCGATGCTCAGGAAGGAAAATGTCCAGCACAGCCGGACAAACGCTTCCCGGTGGCTCCGAGGGGCAGGAGCAGAGGCTCCCGAGGGGCCCTGCCGCCGGCACAGCCTCCCTCTCCGCTCTGCTTGGGCTGAAACGGCCCTGCAATTTTCTCCAGCCTAACTAGTGCTTATGGAAAAGCCCTCCCCAAGCAGCTCGGTATTTTGGCTGTTCCTCTGTGACAAAATATCAGCTGGAGCAAAGGAAAAGCATCCGTTGGGAGAAGGACTGCAGTGCGGCCTGTGCATCCTCACTCACCTCAACCACACAGGCCTAGTCATTACGGGCAAAAAAATATATACCCAATATAACCAAACATTAGAACAGGATGATATCTCAAGTGTTTACATTGTAATTTTTACTACAACTCCTCACTGGTAGACACCCAGGTAGTGATAGTCCTGAGGTAGAAGGTTCTATCTAGAAGGTTCTACCTAGAGATAGAACAACTCACTGACAGACCCCAGGCAGTGAGGTCCCCCACGCCACAGCACACAACGCACGCAGTGGTTGTGAAACCAACCCCAGGCCAGATCATACAAAATCAAGTTTTCTGCCTTTTTGAAAGCAATCACATTTTTAGCTTTCTCACACCGAAACACAAATTCCCGCAAATTGTGTCATTCGGGATGAGGTGCCTGCAATAGCTGTATCGTCTCTTCAATTAGCGTCAAAACCACCACAAGGCGGTTCCTGTGGCTCCTCACTACAAAAAGGCCCAACTCACCCCGAGATCAGAGTGCTTCCGAATGAAAGAAAGGACAGAAATTCCAGCCTTTGTCTGCACGCGAGCTAGGAGGGGGCGAAGCCATAAGGTTCAAACAAAAGCTCCAAATCCTGTAACGCTCGGGCTTCAAAGTGTGCGAAATCACACCTGAGTTTTGCCTTTTGGGCTCTTTTTTTTCCACAGTGACAAACCTGTCGTACTACATAAGTCTTATGAATCTTTTTATAGCACACTGTGCACGTATGAAATGTATCTCCATGAGTTTGCAGCTGTTAAGAAGCCCCTGTGGAGTGTTTTGAACCATCTAAATCGTCTAAGGCGCCGTTTGGAAGGCCAATAAGGAGTGAATTACAGCAGTCAATAAGGGACGTAATTATGGAAGTGGGTTCTTCTGACATTTACGTTTTGCTAACTATCAAATGCTATTGATGAAAAGCGCTACTGTTTTCCTCTTTAAACTATTGGAAGACTATAACTACTATAAACACCTTAAAAACTCTCCATATTAGTCTTATAAGTCCCCTACTCTGCCATGTTCTAATTAGATTTATTTATTACATGGAAACCAGTAAATGTCATGTCTCAGTGTTCTTATTTACGAGCAGAAGGTGTGGAAATTGTGAAGACTCCCAAGTCTTCAGAGAGATCCTTCACAGGTGGAAGATGCACACAATTGCTGTAGGCAATGTATACAATGTCCCAAGGCATAAGAAAGGCCACAGAATTTGATTTTGCTTTCTTTCGGGAGACTCTTAAATCTTATTTTTTAGTATTTTAATCACTGTAGTCCCTAAAAGTCCTCAGCACAGCCCAAGACTCTCCTGAGCTTCACAAAGGAATGATGAAAGTTGGCAACATGCAGTGACTCCTTCAAAGTGGATGAGGAGTAAAGGGAGCCATAGGGAGCTTGGAAACAAAACCTCTTGGCCTATGGTTGACACAAGAGGGAAGATAGATTCAGCATAGGAAACCAACCTGATTTTGACATGATGAAACGAATAAGGTGCGACAGCAGCATTGGCAGTCACGATGGCTATCACAACAAAAAATCACATCTGCCAAAGCAGAGAAAAGGATAATTGAGATACAAGATAGAGGTAGGATGGTAAAGACTGTATTTCAGAGTTGTTGGAGAGAATTTGCAAGCTCTGGAGGTACCCTGGATGTGACAAACTAAAACAAGGTTGAGTCGCTGAGTTTACAGGGCTGAATAATAGATGATGGTGGTATTTTCCACTCCAGCACTCCCAGAAAGAGGTCAGAGAAACACTCTTGGGAGCTGCGATTAGGAGGTCTGTTTCAGGCACGTGAGGCTCGAACTGATGGCTAAATGTGCATGGAAAACGCTGGGGGGACAGGTCAACATTTGAACAGGAGGAGACAGGGCTGGGACCGTTTGACACGGTCACCAAATTTCTACTTGCAAATGAAATG